CGGTAGCCAAAAAAAGTAGTACTTTCCGATGTGTTTCTTTCAAAGTTTTGCACTTAGTAGGTTTATTTTTTTATTTCGTGAAACGAGAAGAAAAGTCTAAAATGTATTATTGTACTATTACTACTAATAAGTCGCTCTGATGGCGCTTCTGTGCGCTCTGTGACACCCAACCGCCACTAACAGCGATCTTGCCAGAGCACCATTGCTGTAATAGTTGTAGCTGAGGAGTGGTCATGGAGGTAATAAAGTGTCTAAGAACTGTAAAAGCACCAAGCGTTATTTTCTTTCAACTAAAAGGTAACGCCTTAACATATTCACCTAACCACTTGTTTATTCATAATCCTCGTATAAAACCCACCCATTAGCTAAATACAATTTTAGCAGGAGCGCACTTAAGCTATGCGTTCATGACTGCAAACATGTGAACGGAAATTGAAAAGGGCAGCGTGCATGAAGGCTATTTCAATTGTAATCATCCGTCAAATTCTTACGGCGCAATGATACAACTATTTGAACTCTCCGGAATGCGTGAGGTATCACGCCGCATTTGAAGGCGTTTTCAAAACAGCCAAGTTCCGATACCCAGATTATCGTTTTGCATGGTTCATGTTATTTTGTTGTATTCCGTACCACTTGTTTATTTTTAATCCTCGTATAAAAATCACCCATTTGCAAAATAAAATTGTAGCTGGGGCGCAATTCAGATGTGCATTCACCACTGCAAAAATGTCGAAGGAAATCGACAAGCCCAGCGTGCATGAAGGCTATTTCAATTGTAATCTTCCGTCACATTCTTACGGCGCAGTGATACAACTATTTGAACTCTCCGGAATGCGTGGGGTATCACGCCGCATTTGAAGGCGTTTTCAAAACAGCCAAGTTCCGATACCCGGATTATCGTTTTGCATGGTTCATATTATTTTGTTTTCATTTCTATTCACCGTATTACAAGCATTACCTAAAATGAAAATCGGTCCGTATCCTCTTTCCTTCAGTGGTGTACACATGAACCTCTGAATCAAATAAAATGAATCTTGAAAATCTTTGAAATCTTTGAATTAAAGAAAATGGGGATTTAGACATCACATTTTGCAAGAGTAGTATTTAAATACAAGAAAGAGCAAAATATCAACTGATCACCGTGTTTCTGTAGATTTTGATTATACGTTCAAGAATTTAAGTTACCGATCTAAATAGCGTAACTCTGGCTGTTTCTTAGTCATAAGACATACTTTAGATGTGCCACTCAAGCTCCTGGGAGGAATAATCGCATTTACACGGGGTGGTTTTTTTCGGGGATGGAGGCGAGGTTAAATGACATGATGGGCTTATGGATTTCAATTAAAACCACCCTATTCTCCCTGAACTAAGCGCAATTTTTAGTAAGTTATTCCCCGGCACATGATATACAATGCCTCCCAATGTCCATGAATGGGAAACATTTTTGGCCAAGTATAACGCCGAGAAAGCATATTTTTTTGCATAATGCAATTATTCCACCAAGAGCCTCAGTGGCCAATTTTGATTTTAAACAAAAAAGGAAAAACGGCTCCTCCCACCCTAAGAAATGGAAGCCTTCTCTGGCTCGAATTTCTCCAATTACACACGAAAATTTTGAAACTAAAACACCCTCTTAAACATCTCCCACAATCCTTGAGAAGAAAGGGCAATAATATCGCATTAATTTGATATAATCTAAAGTGTCTTAAAAAAAACCCTGAGCGTCACTACTGTCTGTGAGTGTAGAAGTTGCAAGCGTGCAAAAAGCACATGCATTATTTACAGCCTCAATTAGTTTGCGAACATCAATAGAGCTTAATCATATGAGGAGAAAGCGGATACTCCAAAGCTTGGCTATTTGAGGCGTCTTCAATTCGGTGGCCACGCTTAAACACCGAAATATTAATGGGAAAGCTTTTTTGTAATTTAAATTCAATTAGCACCTGCTTGTAATAAAAGACGAGTGCCGCGCTCCCTCGCAGTTTGAAAGTGAGCAGACAATGGCTGGGAAAAAAATTAATAAGCCCGAAAACAATCCCTGCATAAACAATTGAAAAGTTTATTTGATCGCGGCGGCCGTACCTCTATCGCAGCACCATGGTCAGACGAGCATCTAGGAAGTCGTAAGAGTAAATGAATGGCAACTCTAGTTTGGCTGTTGCCGATTTTTTCTTAGGGCCATCTGTAAGAGAGTTATATTTTTAACCTCATCTTTTATTCCAGCCTTAGTCTGCATGTAATTTCATTTGATTTTCAGCTGCCGCAGCTTGCCCTACATAGGCAAAGGCCCCTGTATCTATGTACCGCCTCGTAAGCTTCGAATTTGATTAGCTCTTCCCCAGCTTGATGAAATTCCTCTATTCCAGGGTTTTTTTTTTTTAAAAAAAAATAAAAAACCTTATTTTGATGTATGACGGAAACAAATTGAACGCTAAATATTACGTTGAATTAGAAAAAAAGATAAACTTTCTCCAATAAGCTGACAACCATTAGTTCACGCTGATGAAAAAATGAGGTCATTCGAACCTTATTATTAGTTAGAAGAAATTAGTTATTGTAAGTTAGTTAGGACCTCATACTGTCGTGCTAAGGGAAAACGCTATATGAACATTCGGGAGCGACCAAATTTCCTCCGATGAAATGTTCATTTTTGAGGAGAGTTACGAATATTTTCTCTTGAAAATTCTAGATAATTTAGATCTAATCTCAAATAAAAAGGTAGTACGGCCGTTATAGAGCATCGCACCGTCCTTACGGTTCATAAGACCAAATTTTTATGTAATTGGCGATTTGCATACTCAAAAGTTGTTCATCGATTGATCATCAGTAAGTGAAAACTTGCGTTGATCGCCAAGCTTATGTTTGATTTATGTGCTAAAAGGAACTATGTTACACGCAAACCCTGCACATAGTTCCTTTTAGCATTAATCTGTCCATTTTGACTTCGAGGAGGCTAAAATTTCAGCCTCCGTAAAACATTATTTTTTGCGTCTTCTCCTCGAAATGATCAACATCTTGAAGCGCAGAGACATACTTTATAATTATTGCACCGATGTTGATGGTCTCTGTGACTCTTATCACCAGTTTTTACTTCTAGAGGGAGCATAAAAGTTCCAACTTTGGTATAACATTAGTTTTTACGTGTTTTTATTTGGTTAAAAATGAACACTGGAAAAAAAAAACACATTGGATCTAGAGTCCAGATTCTTAAAAACATCGACAAGAAAAAATACTCTTGAATCAATCAGATTTAAGTTCAAAGCAAGAACCAAGCCTCTTAATTTGAGCGGATTTCCTTTTGATTTAAGCTTAAATTTGATTGAATCAAGAGTCCTTTTTCTTGTCAATGTTTTCAAGCGTCTGAACTCTAGATCCAATGTGTTTTTTTCCAGTGTATAGTGTCTGAATAAAAATATATGTAGTGCACATCCATAGATGCTTAGATAATTTGAAATGCCGACAACAAATGTCCTCCTAGTATGGTAACATATTTCACAGGGTCACAGTGGGATTGCATTTAGCAGAAGAAAACCAGTGATATATTCAAAGGGACACTGAGTTAATGGTTGATCTTAATGAACCTAGTTTTTCGCTTCAACGTATTAAAAGCATTTACCTCAAAAATAATGTATTTAATCGGAAACAATGAATTCAAAATGGAGATTAGTGTTCTGACATCCATCAAATTTGGCAGGGAACCATTTTAATAATTGCTTAACACTCAGTACATTTTCCTTGATATACCTAATTTTGTTTTATCATATTAAATGACACTAATCCATACATAGTGGAGTGTACAAATATTTCAAAATCATAAGCTGAAAAACGCTGACTCCGCGAGTTTGAATATTACAGCCAGACACAGAGCGGCCAGCGCGGATCGCGTGATAGCGCCTACATGACTGCTGGGATACCTCACGCATTGCGCGTACAGTCATTCACCGACTGCAAGGATACTTCCCGCATTGCGCGTATTGACCGTGTGGTACGCGCAATGCGTAAAGTATTCTACCAGCCTTGTAGGCGTTGATACGCGTTATTCGCTCGTCGCACTGCGTTTGGTTCTGATATTCAAACTAGCGAAGTCAGCGTTTTTCAGTTCATGATTTTGAAATGATTTTACATTCTGTGCGGATTATTTTCATTTAATTTGGTAAAAAATACGTACGTAAAATCCAACTAATTTCCTCTCATTCTTCACATGCTTACTAATATTAAATGAATTTTCTTAACATTTGAATATCTACCTCAGTGGCAAAAGGGCGTAATTTTAGAGCCACTTCTTCCAGAGCAAGGTGCTTTCTTACGATAAAGACTATGACTAAAGATACAAACGATGACCGTAATTAATCATTGAACATGAATGCTACTTGACTGCCATGTAAATGCTAAGAATCATGCTGAAATAAATTTGATTTAAGCTTAAATCTGATTGAATCAAGAGTCCTTTTTCTTGCCAATGTTTTCAAGAGTCTGGACTCTAGATCCAATGTGTTTCTTTTCCAGTGAAGTTGTAATTCATTTAGAGACGTTCTAGGTTTTTTTTTTTTATTTTTTTGTAATCCATCTTTTGTTTTGTTTTGCAGTCGTTTCCCAAATTAAGTTGTCATTTTACTATATGCTTCGGCTGAATAAGTCGTTCTTCCTTCTCATGGTTCACCTCATCCAAGTAATTTAATTAGATCGTTAGTGCGGAGTTGCCGAAAATAAACTGCCCCTGTACGCAACCTGGTGATCATCTTGAAATGCAGATGCAGTTCTTCTGCTCAATCCTATGCTAGGTCAGATAAAGTTGCCGTAACATCGTGGTCCGAGATAGGGAGCTCCCGGACGACCAAACGGGGCAGAGACGTCGATGAAATACGAACTCGTGAAGATTGTGAAGATTATCCGTGTGCCCGTGGGAGGCCCCGCCAAGGGGGGAGGGGGAGGGGGACGCGAGACACCTCCCAGGACCCGCCGCAACCGCTCAGACTCAGAATATTTTTCACATTGGCCCGGCATGGTTGGCTGAGAAAGTAAAAGGATACGTTAAATTTCGTTTACATTTACACCCGCGCGTTAAAGTCTCTCGGCGCGTCAGTCTTTCCCCGCGCCTCCCGACGAATGTGCCGCGCCGCTGTCGCACCCACACATGCACCTCGTCGCCTCGTATTTATTTACTCTCTCGGAATCGGATTGCATTATCACTATCTGTGAAAATAAATAACCACCAGCTTATTGTATTTTTGACGGTTTGTTCGAATTTCGATCGGAAAACTGTATTATCCAGACACCATAAGTTATTTATCGAGAGATCGAATTTTTCCTGTAAATCAAGACTGGGATAGATACACTCTAGAAAATCATCCTTAGGGTGCGGAACCCCACGAAATGTTATTTAAGAGATATTGAGGATGCATGGGCAAAAATTCAGCTAGTCTTATGCATGATTCAGTTAATCATGATTTGAGTGCAATGTTAACAGACTAATAATGCTGATCTTTGGATTCTCTTTTACCTAAATATGGAATGTTCGAAATGTCTTTAATACGTTATTCGATACTCTTTTCTGTGTGATTGCGATTTGAAAGACCTGGTCTTATAGAAATCATCATGATTTGCGTAGATAAATTTTGAAGTGCATGATCGAACTTTGTTATTGTTCCGTAGAGCGCGCGTTTGATTATTGTCACGTGCGAAGAGCATCTTGAGCTCAAGTGGTTTCGAGAGTTTTGTGCTTTATTGGTCGTCTCAGAGGAAATACATCCAAGAGAATTATACCATGGAAAGGCCATCGAGTAAAATGATTCTTCAAGCACAGGTGAGTTTTCATTTTCTTATCTTCTCTTTTCTATCCTTTCTTTCCTTCATTTGAGTCTCTTTTTAGAAATTAGACTGAACGCCCCTGTCGCTGACTTTTTTGGGGTATGAACTATGAATAACATTATTAGAAAAAATAATTTTCTACACGGCGAACATTTACAAAGGGTAGTGGATATCATCCACCTCCCTTTGTACTGGAATCAGTAAAATCAAAACACTTTAAATGCACGGAGAAATCCAAAGTTGAATAAGTAAAAACCATGGTATCAGAAAGATCTTATTATTTTTTGATATCATGATTATTATTGATGTTAATGGTGGTGTTATTGATCCGTAAATGACTACTTCAGCTTTGAGCGTGGTCATCTGTTAGGATTAGAAATTACAATGTTCCAAAATGTTCCAATTTTAGGTATCGTAAGGTTGGATACTCGATATGCACTATATTCCCTTTATATGCTCCATTTGGATCTAACCAGAATTTTGGATAGATTCGAGCGTACTAAATGGATCACTTCCTAAGAGAATCAGTGTGGTAATGGTTGTCAAAAAAGTTAGCTAAAATTATCTACACTGGGAAAAAAACACATTGGATCTATAGAGTCCAGACTCTTGAAAACATAGACAAGAGAAAATACTCTTGATTCAATCGGATTTTTGCTTGAATCAAAACGAAATCCGCTTAAATTAAGAGGCTTGGTTCTTGATTTAAGCTAGATTCTGATTGAATCAAGAGCACTTTTTCTTGTCGATGTTTTTAAGAGTCTGGACTCTAGATCCAATGTGTTTTTTTTCCAGTGTAAGATCAAAAGGTTATAATGCCATTTTTATCGAATTATTCAAGTGAACAATCATGAGCAAGAAGAAAGTCGTGTTTTCCCTCGCCGGGGATCTAAGTATAGAAATTATCTCATATCATTAGTCAACAAAAATTTCAATTGAAATACTAAAATATTCAGTTCGTCCTTCGAAAAGTATTTAAATTCACAGTTTTAACTTTTTTCAAATGTCCTGCGGTAACGTTATGTGTCAAGATTTGTGTCATGCAGTGCTTTCAACTATAGTAATGAAACCAAAAGACGTCGTAAAAATAAATTCAAACAGATTCGAGAACTCTCTGAATTTTTCAAGTAATTTAGTTGCTACTCATGAAGCTAGCTGATGGATAACCTTAAAGTCGTTGTTCAAAGCTATATTTTGCAGACACCTCACATTTTTTGTAAGGTTTACGCTGAAGACATTTAGATTTGGGGCACCAATGTGGAGGGTTTGTTGATCTTAAGGGACGAGTTTTGTAAATCTATTACAATGAGTGTAGTATGTAAATAATTATTACTATATACCGTGGGCCATCTCTTTTTTTCAAATAAATCATCTAAAGGATCCCGGATAGACGAAATAGACCAACTTAAAACCCTCATCGTTGAATGTATGCTTGATTTTTCAACCCATTGAAAATTGATCAGTATTCTAAGCACAAACACACTGTGCGGATGTAAAGATATAATGTTACCTGTGTTTCATTACGTTTGCTATCAGAAACAAAGATAGAAAAAATGATTAACTCGGGAGCTTCTGCCTTTGTTTGTTCGCTTCGCTCACATGGTCCGTTTAAAAAAGACTAATGTAGTGCAGAAAACACCGTAGAACCGCCCTTCTTCGGTTCGAATAGTTAGCATGCAAAACACCTGTTGATGTAAGTTGAGCCATATGTTAATCAAGAAAAGGCCCAAAAACTACCAAAGCACGTCATTTTGTACAACTATTTCAGAGTTCTCCCAGGAAAGTTTCAGAAGACATTACAAAACAGAGACTGGGCAAAATGTTCATTACTGAGAGCCAAATAATAAAAAATTAATCACAGAGAAAGACTGAGGAGCTTTTATCGAAAATGCGTATTTTTGAGCAAATTAATAAGTGATTGGTGACATCACGGCTAATCAGAAACTGCGGATTTTCTGATAGACAAAAAAGCGGCTTGAAAATTTTCGAAAAATACTAAACTCTTGAAAATAAATGACATTTTTTTAAAAATATCTATAATTGATATAAAAAATCCACCTGTTTTATCTTTTTACACAGGTTGGGAAGAGTATATAGTCTTCAAAAAAGTTAAGTCAAATTTTAATTTAAAATTTTTGAGTCAAAAATTTAATGTTTCCGTTACTTCAACCGTGGATAATTGAACCGCGAATCACCGGGACTGCACTGTGCACGGTGCATTCAAATTTCAGAGAGAAGAAAACGCTGCAAAGTCTGAAAATTAGTTGCAGCTGTGCGAGCAAATGTTACTGCATAACATTCATTAACATTTCGAAGCCATGCTCGGGAATTGTTAAAGAGCATTAAGCGATCGGGATCACGAATGCATAAGGAAAAGAAAGGTAGAGAGGCAAAGGCCGCGATAAAACGGAACCGAGAAAAATTGAAGGAGACTATATGCAGGGAAAAAGCTCCAGGCTCGAGGGATTATAATGCTAGGAAGTTGAGAAGACAGAGGGATACCGGTCATTTCTATTTCCTGCAGGCTGTTCCGCAGGAGTGCATCGTGACTAGATTAACCCAATTTTATTTGCTCACTCCGCGGTTGCCGAACAACAGAGATTCTCTCATGTTTACCCACTATATCTATGGATATTCGAAATTGATCGATTCTAAAACAAAATCAAATGGCAAATGCTTCCGTTTGAGTACATAACTTCGAAGACAATTATAATTTTTTGTCTATGATAATTATAGGAAAAATTGGCAACTCTGACTCAAATGTTGGGCGAGTCTGAGATTCAATATCATAGGCAATATCAAACTGCATTTCAAAATTGAAGGATGCTGGAATCACACGCTGAATTTGGCAACCGAAAATGGGAGCTGAATATAGTTGCTCAACATTTATATCGTAATTTTAGGTTTTTCTCATCCAAATTTGTATTAGACTTATTCGAATAATACAGACAAACTGATAACTGCTGAGTCCTGATCCTCATCGGTGCCTGAATTTGCGCATGACGTGCAAAATTCAGGGCACCACTCAACAACAGATCGATGTCTCCCACATTCAGCTGCTATGATGCCCATATTCAGCGTGTGATTCTCGCTTGAATAATGGAATCCTAGAAAATCAAACCTAAGAATTACCTATGTACCAATTGTACCACCGAATAGCTACCGTTTGAAACTTTGGCACATTTATATCACGTTGATATTTCTATTTTAATGTTTATTAACTGGTAAGAAGACAAAAACCATCCAACTGGTTGAAGGCTTCGATCACATAATTATTTTAAACGTTTTGTTCCCCTCTGACGACATGCAAAGTAATGCCCAAATGAAACGTGGAAAAATATTTTTTGTGATCTCAGCGTGCGATATAAGAAGTTCCCAACCGAAGCATATGGACAAGGTTTCCGAACAAATTGGCAATTTCGAACGGCCTTTGTGAACTTCATAATTAAGTAAAATAAAAAAAAATCTGGTTTTGATGTGTAAACCAACTCAGTTCAATGACAGCTGCGAGCTAACGATACATGACTAAGCAGAGAAACGAGATCCAGGTGGAATTTTATCTTTTAACAACGTAGGTACCTACGACTGGTTCCTATCAGCACAGCTCATTGTCAGCTTCGGACAAGCTCTAAAATATATGGCACACTCATTGTCACAACTAATTAATTCACAATAAAGCACAGATGCAGCCTCATTTTAGAGGCTCTCAAAATCAAATTTACGGAAATCGTTTGACAGGCTAAAAACCTCTCAAATCAAGAAAGTTTCAGGTGAAAGCTTTCATTCTTGCACCCCATTTATTTCAAGTTGCTGAAAGTCTTTTTTTAAAAGATATTTTTATTTTTCACCGGGTTTTGTATCTTTTTAGTGTGGCTAGTTTCAGAATCAGTTTTTCAAGACTTTTTGACAATGGGCTTACTATTGAATCTACATATTCAAAGCTATATTAGCATGACGCACAGAAATACAAAATAGACGGGGAAAATGGGGTAGTTAAAAATGACCTCTATTTTGTCAGCTTCAGAGGTATTTTTACACCTGCCATCTAAATTTTCATATACCGCTCACAATTGTTTTCTCTAATTTAAATCATACTCTGAGAGATAAACTCGGCAGTATCTGAAATTCACAACTTTTGACAGTCGGGACTGAGATTTTCGATATATATAACAGCGATCAAGGCTCGCCAGCCAATGCAGTGTCGAGCGATAGCAATCATCATCTTTCCGCAGTTGCAGCGACCAAAAAACCAGGAGAGCTCAATCTCAATTGTCGAGTTCTCTCTACCCCTCTCCCTCGACTCCCTTCACCGGGACTAGGTGAGGGACTAGGGTCTTTCTTTCGGTGTAAAAACACCTTTACATATTTTAGCCAAGTGCTTGACATTTTAATTTAATTCGTCTATTTTCTCATGGAGCGAACTAGATGTGTTAGAGATCATCTAGAAATCAACCTACAACGACACCTGTTAATATGAGGAACAAACAAGCAACCAAGGAAGGAATTTCAAATTGTAGAGATATATGTTTCCGTAACGGCAGATTTTCATTATGAGCAGCTCTCCTCATTTAGCAACATTTGTAGTTGCTGAAACACATCCACTGAAGGTTTTTTTGCCTTGCCCAAGTAGCATTTTTTCAACGGAAAAATCGCAATATTTGGAAATTAAGTTATGATTTTTGGCGATGAAATCGCCAAGATCATCAACTTCTGAAGGACTATCCTCGATCGTGTCGAAATTGTATCGTAATATAAAATCGCTTTCAATAAAATCGAAATTTTATCTCATTTTAACACGGTTTTTTGATCGATAGTATTGCAATAAATTGCCGTTGATAAATTTCATTCGATGAAATCGCAATTTATCACAATTTTTTATTCGATGACATTGCGATAAATCTACGTCGATAAAATTGCAATACATCCTCCGATTAAATCTCAACTTATCGCGATCACTACTACTGGGGTGTATAAAGATTCTCCTATGACCAAGAG